TATTTTATATATTTTTTAATTTTTTGAAAACTGGCTATCTCGAATATACAGTTAAAATCATGCCCTGTGCTTATTAGCTAATCCTGCAGATTAGGCTTCACTGTACTCTCAGGTTGGACACCTAATTTATTTATTTATTTTTTTATAGTAGCCTTATCATGGCATGGACTCCTAGTTTTGGCTTTTAATGTGGCTAAGAAGCTGTTTTCACCACATCTATTGGGTGTGTCATGTAGAGGGAAAGCAGTATGCACGCAATCACTTCATAGCAGGAGTAGCTGGGTGTTGTTGTTGGTTTTGTTTTGTTTTGTTTTTTATTTTCCCAAGATTGCTAGTGCTGGACAATGGTTGTCCTCAATCCTGCAGGCCCAATTTAGGCATTTCTCAGTGTCGACTATTTTGAACAGATCACAGCAGTGGTGTTTTGTTGGTGTTTTGGTTTTTTTTTTTTTTTTTGTCAGTCTCACTATGTTGCCCAGGCTGGTCTTGAACTCCTGGGCTCATGCAATCCTCCTGTCCCAGCCTCCTAAGTAGCTGAGACTAGACCACTGCACGGGGCTCCACAGCAATATTACATTGCGTTTTTCCTTATTCCTTTCCCCTTCCCCATACTGTCTTGTACTTTAGATCCAGCCGGGGAAACTCATATAGCCTCATGCATTTGGGGGTTGGAGAGGGAAGGGCAAAACACTCCAAAAAGACCACTACTGGCTTTTGGCTGTCATCCTTTTAAATTCAGAGCTCCAAGGAAATGTTCGTGGTGTGAATGCCCTATTAACGATTATCATTTGCCTTTGGCACCATCATCCTGGCGATCTAAAGAAAATAAGTACATAAAATACAGGCAAGAATGGAAAAGCCCCTTTCAAACAAATAGGACATTCCTTGCCCAGCGCTCCCTCCCTGAAAGTGGAGGAGGTGGGAGTAGGGAGGAGAGCTCGTGTCCTCCAAATCCCCCCTCTGGGACCTGGGTTCTCCAGCCAGCAGGGTTAATTCAGGAAGGTCTGGCTCCACAGAAGGCTCTTTGTCAGTGTAGCTCAAATCAGATGATTTTTTTAAAAACCCTGCATCAGTATTTACTTTGTCTTACAGTGGTTTGAGTCCAGCCAATGACACTGGAGCCAAAAAGAAGAAAAAGAAACAAAAAAAGAAGAAAGAAAAAGGCAGTGAGACAGATTCAACCCAGGATCAGCCTGTGAAGGTAACAAGGAGGCTCTGTTTTCTTGTGACCGAGAGTCACTTTTTCAGATGAGGGAGTTTGGAGGTAAATGTATAGGAACCACTTAGATTGACATTCTCTGCTGGTATTCAAGGTAGAAGAGTTGGATCCCAAAGCTGTCCTAGACTTAGTTGATGAAACTGCTCTCAGTACCTTAGAAGACACAGTAGGTTAGATACTGATTCCCAAGCATGGTGCCCATCAGAATGGACAGGTGCATATTGCATGTGCTGCTGTGCCAGGTGCCCTGGAATAGTTACATGTGACGGCCCCTGGTGCCTAGAGCAGTGGTTCTCGACCTTTTCTATCTTAAGTCCCCACCACTGTGAGAATAAAAGGCCTCTGCTTCTTTTTTTTTTAAGATTTGCTTTCCAGGTGCCACAGATTTATTTATCATTCATCAACACCCTTTGGGTACAGTTCTTCAAATTGCTTGAATTGGCCTAAGTGCTTATAGTTATATCACATTTCTCCATTTGAGTTTCCTTTCTTTTTTTTTTTTTTTTTTGGTTGTTGAGACAGAGTCTTGCTCTGTCGCCCTGGGTAGAGAGCAGTGGTGTCATCATAGATGGATAAGAAAGTTCATTACAGCATTACTTGTAAAACTGAAGAACAGAGTCACCAAATGCCCATCAGCAAGGGACTGCCTGAATATACTGTGGTCTATACATACAATGGACTTGGTTGTTAGAATGTATCCTCACATGGAAAGATGTTTAAGGTATAGTGTTTAAAGAGCAATTTGTAGAAGAATATTATACAATCCAATTTTAGTTTTTGAAAAGTGGGTGTGTGTGTTTGGAACTTGGATGTAAGTAAGTCTGAAATTATATAATATTTGCCTCTTCTCACCCTCCTAAGTGAAGACTGTCGATGACAAGGATTATATTTGAGGGATAGGTTTATTGGGTTTTTACTTTCTGTATGTCTTATACATTTCGGCATTGTTTGAAATTTTACACTGGCTTGTATTACTTTTGCCATCAAACAACACGAGACAAATAAGGGGAGAAACCCTGCAGGCAGCACCCACCCATCATCTGTGTGTTCTGAGTGCCATGGTCAGTCACTCTTTCTCCAGTTGTTGTACAGCAACATACGACCTCTGGGATTAGGACAGAGGAACCAAACCCTTTCTTTGAGTTGTACCCTTTAACTCTTGAACTCATAATTAATCAAAAATCTTACTAACATAATGGGCCTTTTTTCTCCCCGAATTTGTCTTGCTCAGATGAACTCCTTGCCAGCAGAGAGGATCCAGGAAATACAGAAGGCCATTGAGCTGTTCTCAGTGGGTCAGGGACCTGCCAAAACCATGGAGGAGGCTAGTAAGCGAAGCTACCAATTCTGGGATACGCAGCCCGTCCCCAAACTGGGTATGTATGTGCTTTCTTCCCCAGCTGAGGACGAGGGACATACCTCAGCTGTGCCTCCATAGGAGTTCCACCCTGAATTTATGAGGGAGGACAACAGAGTCCTGGAGTTGCTTCATGTTTATTTTTAGAGGAGAGTTTTTTAAATGCAGCATAAAAAAGACTGTTGTTCAGAGACCTTATCATTTCACAGCAGCACACACTGAGAACAAGTAACGATTCTTTCAGTCCATCGTGTGTTGGCACACGATGAGTGGGGATGTCTGCCCAGAGGTCTGTCTTCCCATTTAGATTTATAGAGGGACTGTCTTGCTTGTCTGGACAAATGTTTAATCCTGGAATGGGCAGAGTCCGCAGCCTCCTCCCTTCATCTCGCAGCCAAGTGCATGCTTACTAAATGTGAAGGAATTTCACATTTTGCTTAACAGTGATGGTCCAACACCTGGAATACCAGGTGTAAGATTTGTCAGCACCCTTTGAAAGAAGCTATAATGAACTCCTAAAGGGGTAGGACAGGCAGAATGTCTAAGTGGATTCTAGAAGGGACTGGACTTAACGGAGTTAGGAGTGTCTGCCAAGATCGAGTGACACCCAACCTTGATGGCTACCTTCTGCGGTTGACAAAAAGTTTCTGGAATGGTCGCATCCTAATTCTGGACCCACTGATGGCCAAATTCCTATTTCCTATGTGGCTAGGAAAGTATGTTGAGAAAAACATGTACCAATACCAAATGTAAATGACCTTCAAGTTGTCTGTGTTACTGCTTCCCTTCAGGATCACAGTGTGACTTGACCAATATGTTTGATGAGGATGAGAAGGGTTGGACAGGGAAGGGCCAAAGACAAGTGAGGGGAGGAAGACAGCTGTGCCCAAGGGGCTTCTCCTGCAGCGGTGGGGCACATACAGTGCGGAACCTCACTGCTCAGTGTGGTCCACGGACCAGCAGGATGGGTATTGCTTAAGAGCTTGTAGAGAAACAGTATCTCAGGCTGCTCCCAGACCTTCAGAATCAGAGCTTGCAGAGGATTTGTGTCTACTTGAAAGTTTGAGAAGCTCTGCTCTAGAGCAGATGCAGGTCTTGGACAGGTTGTTCACAGCTCAGAAGCAAGCTGGGGTGTGTCCCCACCAGGGACGGAAAGCAGGTGAACGTGAGTGGTGCTGATTCCAGGTCCCAGTCCCACTAGCTAAGCCCTCCAGAAGGCACTGGGTCACAGCATTGCTGCTACTAGGGTAGGGAGCCAGTGACCACTCCCAGTAAGGAGCAGGGAGGATATGGAGGGCCACACGCTCTGCCTCTGAATGAAATCCATAAAGAGGCATTTTGTGGTGGCTGCCATACATCTGGGCCCCATTTTCAGATGGTGTCTGGTGTTTGGAGTTTGGGTTTGATTTTATTTTTTCATTAGGAATTTGTGAATGGGTAACCTTGCTCCATTCTTTATAGATAGTAGGACCTGGAGAAGACGGGAATTGGGATTAATGGGCTTTTCTTCCTCTTCAGCCCGGCAGTAC